TTCTGGGTGCTGAGCAAGTGGGGGTGGGGGTAGGGTGAGGACATCTTCACACCTTTTCTCACTTCTGAGAACCCAGAACAGCTGGGAAGCCTCTGACATTATCTTGGAGCCTCTTCTATGGTCTGGGCAATGGAGTCCCCCTCTACCAATTTCCAAGGCCCCTTTTACTTTACATCTGGTTTATTTCATGCCAAATGAATGTCATGGTAGAATGGCGTTTGCTTAGGGTCCTAGTCTTAAGATATATAACGCTGATGTGGTGAGAGGTCACCATGGCAGGTGTAGAGGCAGCGAGTGAGCAAGTAATGAGTGGTGGGCCGAGAGAGGGTGCAGGGAGGGAGATGAAAGGGGCATCTAGAATGGAGAGGGAATAAAATGGAGGGAACAGAGAGACGCTGGAACAGGGAGAGAACAGGAGTGGCTAATATCCCGCACACACTTGGCAAACCTGGCAGCGGCAGGTGATGACATAAGCAATTGCTAGTTCCCTGAAGGCAGGTCAGCTGAATCGACTGCGCGCTAACACCCACAGAAAAATGAAAGGGACTGCTTGGGAGCTTCCCACACTCTCAGCACTTTTATTAAAATCTGGTCTCTCTAGAATTGTGTGCATTTGAAAAGAGATACTCAAGTGATGGATGATACATGCCTGAAGTCTCAATTTGTGTGGCGGAGGCAGGAAGGTCCTGCCTTCTAGGTCAGGTGTTCTAGGTCCTCTTCTGCCACACAGTGAGGGAGAGATCAACCTGGCCCATGTGGGACTCTGTCTCAAAGAAACACAAGTCAGCCTTGGTAGTTCCCTGAGGCTGGGGCTGGAGGACCCTCAGGAGGCAGCCAGAATACTTTGTTGTCATTTTCATAGCACTCTGCTGGTCCAAATGTGAGTGTTTTCTGGGTGCCCACAGACAGTGTGGATGTGTGGATGTGAGCAATTTCCCCACAAGCTTAAAACGATACAAGGACTTCCACTGTGAGCCTGTCGTGGGTCACTCCAGTTCTGCTGGCCACTGGCGCTCAGCCTTCTGCACCCACAAATAATAAGTACACAGGGCCTGGAGTGATGGCTCCGTGGTTAAGAGCACTGGCTGGGGAGGGGAGGAGGGGGAGCGAGCTACAGGGAGATACAAAATGAATACATTGTAACTAATAAAAATTAAGATTAAAAAATTTAAAAATCATACAATTAAAAAAAAAAAAAGAGCACTGGCTGCTCTTCCAGAGGACTCAGGTTCAGTTCCCAGGAACCACATGCAGCTCACAACTATCTGTAACCAGTTCCAAGGAATTTGACACTCTCACACAGACACACAGGCAGGCAAAACACCAATGCACATGAAATAAAAATAAATAAATAAAAAAGGAATAAGAACACAGATCGATGATGATGAAGGAAGCCAAGTGTGATGGACCCTGGACTTTCAGGACACATTATCCACTGTAATCTTTGCTTGGACACCTCTGGAAACAGGAAGCTCTTTACTTTCCAGCTCAGTGTGAAAATCTTATTTACTCAGAGGTGAACGTGTGTGTGTGTGTGTGTGTGTGTGTGTGTGTGTGTGTGTGTGTATTGCTGGGACTGAGTCCTTGAGCATGCTAGGACTGGGCAGATCAGTTCTCTAGTGGAATTCATTACAAACATTCCCACTTCTTTTGTTGGGGTCTGCTCCCTCTATTTATCTTCCTGAGCTTCTCAGCAGAGTGGGGAAACTGTTAATTGCTAACACATACTCCAACGTGGAGACTAAAAGTCTATTGAGAGAAGACTAGGGTGGCTCTGGCTCAAGAGAAACCTAAGGTGAGAACCCAGACGGTCATTTACAGGATTACCAGAAGCAGGGGTCAGTCTCTGGCCATCTTCATTGTCAAAACTATTTTTTTTCTTAATCTTTTTTGCTTTAAAGAATGCTTGCTGATTTTCTTTCTTTTTTAAAGAGGCAGGAGGATCAGGAGTTTAAGGCCAGCTTCAGCTGCATTTTTTGTTTGAGACAGCATCTTATGTAGTTCCAGCTGACCTTGAATTTACTAGTTAGTTGAGAATGACTGTCACACAAGAACACAATAAATAAATGTAAAAAAACAAAACAAAAAAAAGATGGCTGGCACAGTAATTTAGTGAGCAGGCCCAGAGTCTTCAGTGATGGTGGAATAAGGAGACTTTCCTGTGTCTCCCATCCCACCCCCATCTGGGAGACAGGGTTTCTCTGTGTAGTCTTGGTTGTCCTGGAACTCACTATGCAGACTAAGCTGGTCTGGAACTGAGAGAACCCACTGCCTCTGTCTCCCCGAGAGTGCTACCCTGTAAAATAATTTGTGACTATTACCTCTAATTTTTTTTCCCCTTTTTTGAGACAGGGTTTCTCTGTGTAATCTGGCCTGGAACTCACAGAGATTTGCCTCTCTGAGTCCTGGGATTAAAGAGCCATGTGTCAACACCGCCTTGCTCTTTGCCCCAGCTGGTGCTTCCTGGGCCCACTGGGTTTTTTTTGTTTTTTGTTTTTTTTTGAGACAGGGTGTGTGTGTGGGTGTGCTACCATATCTAAGCTCAATATTTTTATTAATTAAAGTTTACTAATTAAAGTTTATCCCCTCTCAATCCCACCTTCCCTCCCCCTTCTCCACCCATGTCCCTCCCCAAGTCCACTGTTAGGGGAGGTCCTCCTCCCCTTCCTTCTGATCTTAGTCTATCAGGTCTCATGAAGACTGGCTACATTGTCTTCTTCTGTGGCCTGGTAAGGCTGCTCCTCCCTCAGGGCAAGATGATCAAAGAGCAGGCCAATCAGTTTATGTCAGAGACAGTCCCTGTCCCCATTACTATGGAACCCACTTGGAGGCTGAACTGCCATGGGCTACGTCTACACAGGGGTTCTAGGTTACTAAATTCAATCTTAATTAACTTTATTTTCAATTCTACAATCAGGCAAATCTTCCTTTGGTATTGTTTGATGGGATGATCAAGGAAAGGCTGAAGAGAGGCACAAAGAAGCCAGTGGGTCTTTCAAACTTACTTTCTAGCATAATGGGCAACCAATAGAAAGACAACCAATAGGCTAACTAGGTTAAGAGAGGTTATAATCTACATGTAAGGATTAAGACACGTCAATTACCATGTCAATTGAAACTGGGCATTTGGGGGAATCTTTTCTAGGAAGTGTCGTTTTTTTAGTTAGGGTTACTAATGCTGTAATGAAACACCATGACAAAGCAATTTGGGAGATGGGGTATTTGGTTTACACAGCAACAAGGAACATCAACATGCAAGGAAGTCTAGGCTGGAACCTGGAGGCAGGAGCTGATGCAGAGGCTGTAGAGAAATGCTGCTTCCTGGTTTGCTCAAGAGGCTTTCTATCCCCCCCAAACAGGGTTTCTCTGTGTAGCCTTGACTGTCCTGGACTCACTTTGTAAACCAACCTGGCCTCGAACTCACAGATACCTGCTTGCCTCTGTCTCTTCAGTGATGGGATTAAAGGCAGGTGCCACCATGCTAGGCTCAAGGGGCTTACTTAATGGAACCCAGAACCAACAGCCTAGGGGTAGCCCTTTCCAGAAAGAGCTGGGCCCTCCCACATCAATCACTGATTAAGAAAATGCCTTACAAGGTTGCCTATAACCAGATCCCTTTTCTGATCCTTTTCCCTTCTGATTATTACCTTGTGTCAAACTGACCTAAAACTACTCAGCACAAACAGGTAACTTGCTTCTGTTTGATTTTTGATCCCAGTGACTCCATTTTGATTTTTAGCCCAGTCTGTTGGCCCAGCGCAAAAGTTTACTCTACAAAAACGACCGGTTGTAATTTTTATCTGGATTAGATGGGCAGTAGGCCTATTGACAAGAGAAAGGTGTGTACAATTTTGTGCACATGAAGGCATTATATCAACATCAATATTCAGCACTCCTGTTGGCTTCAGAAACTTACATGCCTTGTCCACAGGGAAGATGAGCAGAGGCTGTAACAGGAAATCAGTTCACTGGGCCCTCAAAGTCAGGGCACACTGAGTATGGCATTTGAAGGTGTGTCTTAGGCAGAAGAACCCCCACCCCCACCCACTTTGGGAAAGGCTTGAGGAAGCCCAACTGGAACTGCTGTTTCTCTTTAAGGAGAAGAAATGTGCCACATGTTTTCTGTCCAGCATCTCAGGGTAAACTGGGTCTGGTGGCGGTGGAGGTTTGTAATCCAAACCTGTAGCCTCAGTTAATTGAGAGTCTGTGAGCTGGAGAGTTCAAGGTCAGAGGGGGCAACTAAGTGGCATCCTGTCAGAAAATAAATGAGGGCTGAGACAGGGCTCTACGGTAGGTAGAGTGTTTAGGATGTATGAGGCCTTGGGTTCAGTGTCTTAACAATGGGAAAATAAAATTCCATCTTCGAAAACAAAAACAAACAAACAAACAAACAAACAAAGACCAAAGGAAAAAAAAATTCCATGTGGTAAAAAGGTATTTGAAATCCAGACGCTGGATTAGGCACTCTGTGCTGGTAATGGTGGGGCCTTTCATGCTTCAAATAAGTGAGAGGGCTGGGGACTGGGGCTGTAAGGAGGATGGAAGTCGGGACTGTTCGTTGGCCTGGCCTGGCCTGTCTTTCAAACCTCGGGACTACAACTCTTCACGTACGTAAGGCATGTCAGTCACACTACGCTATCAGATCGCAATCTCTGAACTTCATGGGTCAGTTTGCACAGTCACAGGCGTCCTTCCTCCCTGCCTGCTTCCGGGCAACTGCAGGCCTCAGGGTCAGTCACCGTTTGTCCACATATCGCCTTAGGCTTTGACTGCCTCCAGGCTCGCGGCTGGCGCGGGGTGGCGCTTTCCGCTCATCCGCCTTCCCCTATATAGCCTCTCCAGAGCCCTGCCGTCCGCAGCTTAGCAGAATCTTTCCCGAACGCAACACGAACGTTGTCGAAGCCGACGCGTACGGAAGCGGACAGCTGCTGCTGCGCTTGCGTGGCTTCAGGGCCGGGCGGAAGTCGACGTCGCCGCGCCGCCACCGCGTGACGCACTTCCTGTTTGTTGTTCGAGAAAAAGAGAGAAAGGAAAGCGCGAGAAGACGCCACCACAGCTACCAGCCCAGCTGTGCCAGGGCCGCGAGGAGACCAGCCGCCCGACTTCCCCCGGTCGCCGCCACGTCCTCGGTGAGGGGTCCGCGGACCAAGGCGGAGGGCAGGGCTGGCCGCGGCGGGAGGGGAGGGCCTGCGGATGGGTAGCCCGCTCGGCGCCTGCCGTACAGGAGCAGGCAAGCCGGGCCGACGCTGGGGCCGGGACTGCCGGCTAGGGCCGCACGGCTTCCAGTCCAAGCTGTGGTCTGGGGACTAGGCCTGAGGCCTAAGGTGTTTCTGGTTCGGGCCGTTCCTAGACTGGGTTTGTGGAAAGCATCTGCCGTTTCGGGTCAGACCTAGCCCGGGGCTTAGCTGGGGTCCGCTCCCCGGTCCCCAGTGGCGGTTGAGCCCGGCACGCGCGAGGTCCGCCGCAGAGCCGCAGGAGTCGGTGAGGCCTGTGTCACCCTGTCCTGGCATCCTCAGTGCATTCTGCAAGCAAGGGATCAGGTGGCTTGCGAAAAGCAGGTCTTCCCATGGAAGGCGCGATCACTGGCTCAGGTGGCCCAGGCTGCCTAGGGGGCCGTGTAGGAGGGCAACGGCGGTTTCTAGGGTCCTCCCAGGACTGTTGGGAAGTTTGCTAGGCGACCTGCCTGGCTCAGCTTACTTCCAAAACTCGTTTGCTGTTGGCCTTGAAGGTTACTTTACTGTGTTTTATGTAACTAAGGTTTATGTAACTGAATGAAGTTTACACTAAGTCTTAACTCACTTTGTGTAGACAAGAGAAACCTATCTACACTGCAATCCATAATATTGTCTTAAACTTTTGGAGACGGCGATTTTTTAAAAATTTTTACAAGATGTGTTGTTAAGCTGTGTTACCGAAGTTGTGTGTGAACCGGTGAAAGGGAATGGCGGGGATGGACCCACCTTTTAAGGCATGCTTAAGCAGGTGGGGAGTGTAGGCACAGTGCACCCACGTTGTTTTTATTAACGTGTTTATTTGAACCATAGATCTGTGGTCAGGCTTTATAGTATCCTTCACGTTTTAGACCCTAGAACCTAGGGAATCGAACTTAGCACCTTCTGCTTGCTAGAGAAGCGATAGCTACATTAACTACTTCAGTAGAAAAGTTAGACTTCAGCAGCCAAAGGAGGGGACAGCCTAAAGAAAACATATCCTGACATTTGAACTTAGTCTGTTCTTGGTTGTAAAGTAAACCTCACACAAGACTGATACCGGAAAGGAATTGTTTGCAACTGTTACCAGACTCCATTGTTTGCCTTTGGAATGTCACACCTGATTACTGTTATCAGTGTAGACACTTGCAATTAAATGCACGTGAGGCTTTTCATCATTTATTCATTCATTTATTCATTTATCTATTTATCTATCTATCTATCTATCTATCTATCTATCTATCTATCTATTTATTTATTTAGGCAGGGTTTCTCTGTGTAGCCTTGGCTGTCCTGGACTCATTTTGTAGACCAGGCAGGCCTCGAACTCACGTGCCTCTGCCTCCCCGGGTGCTGGGATTATAGACATGCACCACTACTGCCTATGGGCCTTTGGAATTAGGAAAACCATGAAATGTGGGAAGAAATGTTGTCTTTGTGTAGGTATGGGGATTTGAGAGAACAATAAAAATTGTAATTCTTCCATTCACACTTTTGCCCAGGCAGATCGCTCAGATTTTGACATCACTGTGTCTCTGCTTCTTGAAGAAGTGGCCTTTTTTTTTTCTTTTTCTTTTGAGACAGGGTTTTTCCGTGTAGTTTTGGCTGTCCTGAAACTTTGCTCTATAGACCAGGCTGGCCTTGAATTTAGAGGTCCCCCTGCCTCTGCCCTCCCCAGTGCTGGAACTAAAGGCAGTGCCCCACAATTGAGAAATTTGCTTTTTTTAAATTTTATTTAATTTTTATTTTATATGCATTGGTGTGAAGGTGTTGGATCCCTCGGAATTGGCTTTACAGACACTTGTGTCTGCCATGTGGGTGCTGGGAATTGAACCCAGGTCCTTTGGAAGACCAGACTGTGCCCTTAGCCACTGAGCCATCACTCCAGCCCGAGAAATTTGCTTTTTAAAGTACTTATATTGTACTTATTTGTGTGAGTATATGAAATGTTATGGCATATGAGTGGGAATCTTCCATTGATGTCTTTTTTTCATCTACAGAACAAGTTCTCACTTTTTTCTTTTTGATTTTTTAGAATTTAGAGGTTGTTCTTTTTGTTTTGTTTTTTTTTTTAGAGTCTCAATGTAGCCCTGGAACTCATCAGGTTGCCTTGCCTCCCAAATGCTGAGATTAAAGGTGTGTGCCACCATACCCTGTTTTTTTTTTTTTTTTTTTCCTCCTCTTATATTTACAGACCTCACTTTAGTTGTAGCTGCCTTATAACTAAGTATGTAGATCAGGCTGGCCTTGAATTCAGAGATTCACATATCTGCCTCCAGGGTGTGCTTGGCCCAGAGTACAACTTTTGGAGTCAGTCCTGGGATAGAACTTAGGTTGTCAGACTTGTGGGACTAAATTATTTGGCCAGCTGAGCCAGTTCCGTAGCCTGAGAAATTGGCTTTTGACGTTGTTTCTGTGCAGTGGAAGATGAACAAGCTGAATTCAGGTCACTGAGCTTTAGAGTAGAAGAACACTTTGCTGGCAGGGGCGCTGCACCAACCTTTAACCCCAACACTCAGGATGCAGAGGCAGGGTGATTTCTGTGAGTTGGAGGCCAGCCCGGTTTGTTTACTCATGGCCTTCAGGACAGCCAGGGCTACACACCAGAAACCCAGTCCCAGAGAAAAACAAGCAAACATACCAAACAGAAATTATTGTTTGAGGTTGAGGCAGGCTAGATTCCTGAGTTGGATGTCCTCTAGGTCTATAGGGTGATCCTCTCTTCCCCCCCCCCCCCAAAAAAAAAAAAAAAAAGCATTTTCTTGTTCTGTTTGGTGTGAGGTATTTGGGTTAAGGACAGACATAGTATGTTGGGTGATGAATATCTTGCAAACTGTGAAAATGGAATTAGAATCCCCTGAAACAGCCTGCTCTTCAAGCTGTCCTCTCAGTATTAAGTGATAGTACCATTTTCCTGTGTGAACCAGCAGCATTGTGCCTGCCCATAGTAACTATTAAAATTTTCACCCAGCAAACTCAGAACCCAGGTTTTTTTTTGTTTGTTTTGTTTTTGAACACAGGTTTTTTTTTTTTTCTCTGTGTACCTTGGCTGTTCTGGGCTCTATTTATAGACTGGGCAGAGATCCACCTGCCTCTGCCTACCCCAGTGCTGAAATTAAAGGCTTATGGCACACACCTGGCTGAACCCAGTTTTTTTCAAGGTTGTTTTCAAGACAGGTTTTTTTTTTTTTTCTGTAGTAGCTCTGGCTGTTTTAGAACTCACTCTGTAGACCAAGCTGGCCTCAGACTCAGAGATCTGCCTGTTTCTGCCTCCTGAGTGCTTTGATTAAAAGCATGTGCCACCACCCCACCACATCCTTAGAGTTTTAAGGAAGGTACTTTGTTGTCACTGTCTATTCCCAATATGATAGTGTGCCTTTTACACTATAATGCTTAAGGATGCCCATAGACTTTGAGACCACTTCTGATGCCTTCCCAAAGAGCAAGCAAATATAACAGAATTGGCCTTTCTACTTGATTTTTTACTCCCTTAAATTTTTTTTTTTTTAAGATTTATTTATTGTGTATCCAGTGTTCTCCTTACATGTACACCCACATACCAGAAGGAGGTCACCATATCTTATTATAGATGGTTGTGAGCCACCATGTGGTTGCTGGGAATTGAACTCAGGACCTCTGGAAGAGCAGTCAGTGCTCCCAGCCTCTGAGCCATCTCTCCAGCTAAATTTTTTTTTTTTAATTTTAATTTTTCTAAGGTTTATTTAGCTGGTCATAGTGGCACAAATAAAATCCTTTAAAGCTGGGCAGTGATACACATTTGTATCCTAGCAGTAGCTTCAGGGAAGGTGGAGGCAGGAGGAATTCAAAGTCATCCTTGGCTACAGAGTGAGTTCCAGACCAGGTTACAGAGTTGCAGGCCAGCTTCAAGTACCTGAGACCCTCCATCTGAAAGGGGAAGTGGGGGAGGCTGGAGAGATGGCTCAGAGGTTAAGAGCACTGGCAGGTCTTCTAGAGGTCGTTCCTGAGTTCAATTCCTAGCAACATGATAGCTCATAACTATCTGTAGTGAGATCTGATGCCCTTTTCTGGCATGCAGATAGTAGAACATTGAATAATAATAATAAAAAAACAAATAAATAACAAATAAATAAATTTATTTATTTATTATTTATTTATTTTTGTTTCCAGACAGGATTTCTCTGTAGCCTTGGCTGTCCAGAACTCACTTTGTAGACTAGGCTGGCCTTGAACTAACAGAGATCTACCTGCTTCTGCTTCCCTGAGTGCTGGGATTATAGGCGAGCGCCACCGAGCCTGGGTGCAGTGTTCTTAAAAACTGACTTCTTTTTACTTCTTTGCAAAAAAAAAAAAAAATGTAGTAAATTAATCCAGAACACCATCTGGTGGTGAAGGGCCTGCAGTTACAGTTTTGCTTTTGTAGGAAGGATTAGAGTGGCAAATTATTGTTATGCTGCTTTTCTCATGTATAGAAGTTAGGAGAGTGTAATCTTGGGAATAAAAACAAGATTTTTAGGGGTCAGTGAGCTGTGGTCTGTTGTGAGTCTTGATACCAGTTTTCAAGAGGATGAGGCTGGAGAATTTTAGATGGAGGCCATCTTGGCCTGTATAGTGAGACCTCACTTCATTAAAAGGAGAACAAGCAAAAAAACTTAGGTGAATGAGAAGAAAAATGAGCTGGTGAAAGAATATGACAGAAATGATGCTAGTATTATAATTGGGCTTGGGAGGTTCAGCACCAAAAGCAAAGCATGAGGACTAGAGTTTGATTCCTAGGACCCACATAAGGGTGAAAAAAGAGAATTGATTCCTTAAAGTTGTCTTCTGGACTCCACAAGTGTGCCCTGACACATTAGCACACAGTGGGGTATGTATTGTCCTTTCTGCATGCACCCCAAGCATGTTTAATAAACTTCAACTCTGCTTAAAAACAACAAAAC